GAACTGGAAGTTTTACCTGCAGTCCAGGGCTCCGATGCTGTATTATCAGCAAAGACTATACGAGCATATCTCTCTCCTGAAATCTTTCTGTGCATGAGCAACATGTTGGGAATTACATGCCCCATTAGCACCTTATTACAAGTGATAACTGTGCAATTTCTATGAGGCCAGACTACAGGATGACAAGAAAGAGGGCATTCCAGAAGAGATGGCTGGTCACCCAAAGCCCACAATGTCACAGGTGACCCTTAGTGGGAGATTCAAGGTCAGAGCCTCCCTGGAACCAGCCAGACTGTGCAGGCAGCCCTTTGGGTACCTGTCTCCTCCCCAGCACCACACTCCTAATCAAACAAGTGCTGGGTACATTCAGCAACAGGCAAGGTCTCAAGTTTATCATAACTCAAATGGTATTTCACACTTAACCTCTCTCTGCAACTCAACTCCGTTTCAAATAATCACAACACAGCTTCATGAATGCAGAGGGCATTTCATCTCACTGCAGAATTAACTGACTCAATAAGAGGTCACCGTGCCAAAAAAGAAATGAAAGTCACAAGGCAAATAAGAAAGTTATAAGGTCAGATAAGCTGCCCCGCTAAAGCTGTTCTAACAGGAAGGAAGATCACCTGGTGCCCCTTTACTGAATAGGACTGGACTTGAATTTATTGCATAATTAACCTATTACACTTAGAGCCTCCCACATTATTTAACAGTTAAAGTGTTAACAAAAAAGCAAAGGTCACATTAATGAAGCACCTACGTCCCCAAAACTGCTTTAGGTGCACTAGAAGTATAGTCTTAATTTTGGGACCATCAACCTCCTGGTAAGATTAAAATGGGATATATTCATTTAATCTCTTTAAAAAGCACCATAAATTATTTGAGGGGCTTTTAAGATTTTTTAAAATCACATTCTTTAATACATCCCTCTACAACTAGAAAAGTAAAATAAGTAAATACGTGCATGTGTGTATATAATGCAGTACTTGAATCAATTTGAAAAGATGCTTCTTTCATACATTTAAATCCTTATTGACCTCAAGGAACCAGATACTACACACACATACAAGCTTGAGTGTTTTTCCGAAGCCGCTAAATCACAGCCTAAGAATGGCTCTGGAGAAACTTGGGACTTTCAATTTGCCAAAAAGAATCTCCAGGTTTGGGGAAAGAGCTATCTGCCTTAGATACATGAAGGTAACTGGAGGTCTTCCTTCACTCTCCCCAAAAATGATGCAGCAGCTCCTCTAAATCAATGTCAAACTCCAGTATTTTAAGAATAACAGTTTGGAAGGGCGCTAAATTGTCAGCCTGCCCAGAGCGCTCCACTGTTAACGCACGGATGCAAGCAAGCGTCCCAGGCCGCTGGTGCGCAAGTCACACTAATCGCCTCTCGCAAAATAAAGTGCTCAGACCATCACCCGCAACTGTGCCCTCGTCTGAGAAGCACCCGTCTTGGCAAAGGGCTGAGGAGGTCTACCTGGCTTTCTCTGTGGCTTCTCCCATTCTCGGCCTTGAAGGTGGACTTGGGCTTCCGGGACTTGAAGTTGCCCATGCTGGGTCGCAGCACGCCGTCCAGCAGCGCGGTCTGCTCTACATGCTGCGGCGGCACGCGGGACAGCGGCGCGGGCTCCTCTAGCGGAGGCCCGGCGTCGGGGTAATTTTCTTTATTGTCTTCATCTCTAAAACAAGAAAGATCCAATTTAGAAAGCACCAAAAAGAGTATAATAACCCGCTGTGGGAAAGAGAGGCTGGTGATACTGGTTGCTGCTCTATTTATATATACGGTACCTCCCAACTTGTTAGTGTAGACTTAGTTTCAGAGGAACTGAATTTCACTCGAGATCACGCCCATTCCCTTCCAGTCTTTGCTAATGGATATATACTTTTTGTAGTTGTAGCTTCGTCCATACTATCATGATCTGCTTTTAATTTTTCACTTCAAGATGGATTCATATATATCTTGTTTTTCTCTCACAAGAGTAATGTGATATAGTCTGCTTAGTTATTGTCACCCCAACTTTATAGACTGACTATAAAACCCAGAGATTAAGTGCCGAATAGAAGGGCTAATTCACCCAGGCCTGGAGTGGTCAGGTGGGTCTCCAGCCTCTCATGCCTGTGTCCTTGGTTCAAGGTATAATGCTTCCTCCTCACTGGAAAGTCTTTAATCATTTCCTTACAACTTTCAGAAGCATTTAAAAGTTTAACAGGACTCTATTTTAATAGGATATACTACCTGAATAAAATATAACACAAGGGCCAAATTTTACCTGACCAAGCCATAAGAACAACACTCAATGCAAAGCTGAAGATTCCGGCATCTGGGTCCTATTGGTGCAGAATTGCTGGAGAAGACTGAACAGGCCGGCATTACCTCCATACACTTAGGGCTGGGAGGACAGTGTTCATTTTTACTCATCAATCAAATTCAACACAATATCACCCTGGCATTTCAATTTTCTCAAAAATAATGACATAATAACGCTCTTCTTTGAAGTCATTTGTCTGTCTTAAATCTAGATGTATTTTATTTTCTTATTTTGCTAAGAATTCAGCAAGCATCATGGACATAACCAAATGGGGGCATTCCCTTTGTATAAGCAGTATCATCATCCTTAACCTACTGGCAGTCATTCATTACCAGGTCATACAATTCTGCAGGAGTGGACACTTCCCCCAGGTGGTGTTTTTCCCTCCTGTTCCCCAACCAGCAGCATCCATAAAAGAGATTTTGGCAAGGTCAGCTAAGAATCAATTCTTCATGGCTCAAGGACACGTAAAGTCAAGAGACAAGACCAGCAAAGGAAGGATTTCTACTCTCTACTCAGGATGCCTTTTCACGAATGAAAGAGATTAAATTCACTAAGCTGATAGCAAGAGGATGAGCTCCAGGTAGTCCCTGAGGGAAGATCAAAGAAAACATCAGGACAGGAGGTCTGGAGCCTGACCAGAGTGCATGCAATTGGGCAAGACATGGAAATAAAATTATGTGAAAGAGTTAAATTTAAGCCTTAAAACAGACAGTATCTGGTAAAGAAAAACCCAAGAAGTGAAATAATTCTTCATGTTAGTAACTGAAAAACAAAACAAAAAGAACTACACTAATTTGTTTGAAATGCATTTCTCTCACTAGAAACAATTACTACTCATCCAAGTACTCTATGTTCCTGGGTGAGCAACAAAAGAAAGAACAGCTGCATTTACAGTAACCCAAAAGTTCCTCATTCAAGGAGAATTCCAGAACACTCAAAATAAGGGGAACAAAGTGATTTTTCAAATCTAAAATGATTCTTGGGGGAAGGTATATAGCTCAGTGGTAGAGTGCATGCCTAGCATGCAGGAGGTCCTGGGCTCAATCCCCAGTACCTCCATGTTAAGTAAATAAATAAGCAAACAAATAAACAAACAAACTTAGTTACCTCCCCTCCGCACAAAATGTATAAATAAATAAATAAAATGTCTCTTGTGATAGACTCATTCCTAAAATAATATCTGAATTTTATTTTTATATCATATTTTCAAGGTGCCCCAAATTTACCAATGTCATCTCATTCACTTCCTTGGCTTGAAAAGCAAGGAAGGTGGGGGGGGGGAGCAAAAAGCATCTGTCTCTCATTACACAAATATAAAACCTAATACAAAAGTCATGTTTAGAAATATATTTTCCAACCGGTTCCTCAGAATCCCCAAAACAGAATACAGGTAATTTGTCACTGCTCATTGGAATCACTTGTAACTGAGAATGAGCATGGTATTCTGAAAAGAACAGGAGTTCAAAAGATCCTCCCACTTGTTATAACGCAGCCTGAGCCACACCACTTCACCTCTGCGACTCTTGTCCGTAAGATGCCTGGAGTCTCTACTTTGCAGAGGTAATAGTCTCTGTGAAATGCCTACCACAGAAAGTTGGCTCAAGGGCACAACCCAGTAAGTAGGGGCTATTATTACTCTCAATTAGGGCCTTAGGTGAGTGGTTATTCACAAAGGAAAAACATGAGGGCTATTTTTAGTCTTTCCAATACCTCCAGGATAAATTATAAACTCCTTAGCAGGGCACACAAATCCTTCAGAATCAGGTCTTTGTTTATCTCTGGAACTTTATTTCTTACCACTCCTGGCCTCACCTCTCAGGGTTCCTGCCATCCTGAACTGCTTGCTGTACCTTCAACTTGAATTATTTTCTCTATCCTCTATTGGCTAAGTCGCTCCGTTTGTAGCTTCATGATGTTTTGGCCTTATATCCCACCCCAAAGAGTCATGTGCCATGTGTAATTTTCTTTAGGAATCCATCCCAGAAATCTCACTAGACTACACTAGGTCTTCTAAGTGAATCCTCTGTCTGATCCCAGTGAAACAGCACCCAGTGCACAGCAGCGTCATCACCTGTGTACTTGCCTGTCTCCTCCAGTGGACTGAACTTCTGGGAGCAAGGATTGGTTTGTCTTTCTCTACCCCAGATCTCCACTGGTTTCTGGCACACAAAATAGGCCTTCAACAAACATTTGTTATCCAACAGTGGACTTTAGTGTCAGACAGACCTGAGTGCAACTTATTTCTCAGAGTGGCTGTGTTATCTTGGATGAGCTAGCATCCCTCTGAGTCTCAGTTTCTCCACCTACAGGATGAGAAAGGAAACCTCAGCTTCCTTTCATTGTTTAAATAATAAAGAGTATCTGAAAGTGCATATCTGAATAAAATGTGGAAGAAATGGTGACAGGAAGGTTTTGCCATCGTATCATGAACCCCTTGATAACCAAGACCACACTCCAGACATGTGTGGTGAATAAAGCTAGAACCTCTTCCTTAGGATCTACGATGGGAACATTGAAATGGGCTAATCAAAGTTTAATTCAACAGGTATTTATTGAGCAGTCTCCATGTAAATGTACTGTCCTGGGGAGTATCCAAAAGTAGACAAGACAAAACTTCCTTCAAGAGCTGATCATCTATTACAAGAAATCAGACCTGAGAATAAATTATTAGAATTCAATGAAGAGACTTAAGACCAGACCCAGATGGTTTCTGTTCTTCATAAGAAGCCAGCAATGGTGGGTCATACCTGAGACTGGAGCAGTCAGTCTGATCTTCATGCAGAGAGACTGTGTCTTCGTCACACCTGGGGAGAGGGAATAAAACTGTATCAGATCCAGCTGTCTGCTGCAGTAGAAGCAGCAACAGTCTAGAATTATCTTAAGATCAGCCCAGTAAACTTAAAAAATAGAACAATCTTTACTGCTTTCACCTAAACCAGCAACGATTCCCCAAAAGTCTACCAGTTAATGATACCAATGTTGTCGTATCATCTGAGCTTAAATGCTCAGAACCAGAGGTAACCACTGCTCTGCATCACCTAAACTAACAAGATTTTAGCAAGGATCTAAGTGTTCACAGTGCTTGAGGGGACACTGGACACCAAGATTGGTGGACTGCTGTTGGCTCCAAAGAGACTCTGCTACATGTCTCTTGGCATTACCTCTGCCTTAGGCAGTCCCAAATCACACCAGCTGCCATTTGGTTTACTCCATTGGCCACCAGACTTTCTCAACCTCTTTCCTTTTCACAAAAATTTCTCAAATAACCTTGTGAAAAATTCTTGGCTCTTCCATACTGAAAAATCTCCAGTGCTCCACATTGCCTAAGGGAATCTGGAGTAGGACCATTCTCTCACTCTAGTGTATGAGGGAGCTTCTGTTTCCATTCTCAGCCATTCCCCCACACCACTCCAGCCTGGAATGCTTTTTCCATCTTCAACTCCTACTCAGCCTTCACTGCTCAAGTCTCACAAGCTCTGTGAACTTTCCAAGCCAAGTTCACCCACGTGTCATGTTCCCAATTTAATCTAAATACATACATGTTTACTCTTCATTCTGAGGTTTCAGGAGCCAACTAATTTTGCCTGGCACTGTCCAGTAATTCCTTTGTACCTCTGAGCTGTGTTTAATTCGTCATTAATTCCATGAAAAGAAATAACCATAATTTCTTCTTCTAGATATGGTGCCACAGTGCCCACAGTGCTAACCCAGAGAAGACACTCAATAAATGCTTGAATTGAATCATTAACTCTGGCCCCTCAGCAAGTCTAGTCCCTGATATAATTTAACAAGCATTTACTGAGCATTTACTGCCTTCCAGGCACTGCATTAGGCACTGGAGCTGTGCTCCTCAAATTCTTTGGGATTCAGGATGGACCACTTGGTTGTCTATTTCCAATCCACTATGGATAGATAATTTGGTAAAAATGCCACAGGAATGCCAAATCCCTATAAAAGTTATTAAATGCATAGTCCCTGTTTCAGTACTTTTCTTGTCTCAGACATATTACAACCTGTGAACCCACACTTTGAATAGCACTACTACTGAAGGATAGAAAGTTGAAAAAGAACCTGGACCCTGCTCTGAGAGATTCATAATGTGATAAGTGGACTACAGTAAATAAATAAATATCTACATACATAGATATCACCATAATATTGTACTTATCCTATATGAAATCACTTCTAAAAATTTTAAATATTGCTTCCTGGCAATGGTGTATAATTTAGCCACAGAACAAACTGATGACAGCTTCAGTTCTCTCCCCTTACTACCTTACTTCCCTTTAAATTATTGTTTTGTAACGAATTAAACAAAGGCCACCAACCCTCTCTACCTGCTGAAATATTTTGCTCCTGCTGACAGTTGAAAAAAAAAATCCATTGCCTTAACAAAAATGCTCTCCTTGACAAAATGAACTACATATCCTTGCTTTCCCACTTTTTGACTCTTAATAGTCTGCTTTGTCCATCTCATAGAAAGCAACAATTAAATTCCTAAATGTTGCCTTGTTCTCCTCCATTAGAGGCATTTACTTTAATAGATCATAGATCATTGTAATGTGAATAAAGATGTTCCCCCAACAAAAACAATCTAGCTAAGAGAAAAATCAATGAAGAACAGAAATCTAGAATTACTGCTTCCAAAGAACTAGGGTTCAAACAGAGGCTCCACCTCAGAGCTCAACAATACCTATTGTTTGGGAATTTGGCAAGAACTTTTTTTTCTCCTCCTCATTTGATTTATTAATCTTTCTTCTCAAAGGATAATTAGTTAAAAATGGAAACTCGGCACCAGAACATACGAAGTTGCAGATGCTTTCTCAAGTATGAGGCCAGACCTAATTAGCTGATCCAATTTTAAGGACTACTGAACAACTCTAGACACCGTTCAAGAAAACACAATGCCTAGCTTGCAGATATAACAATGCAATAGATCTCCCTGTGGCTTCCATGGTTCACATATACAAGCTCTTTTAGTTGAACTGAGTTTTCATTTACTTCAGTGAAGACCATCAAGTTGTACTTAATTAGTATCTTTCTGATTGCTCCACTGATTCCTTGCCCAGAGCCCCCTGCAAATGTACAGTATTAGCCCAATAAAAAAAAACTGGATTCCACAGTGGGAATCCATATTCAGATATCCCTATGCCTGAAAGAAAATCAACTCTGATCAAGTGCCCAACTGGCCTTGGGCATGAGATTTTTCTTCCTACGTTGTAGGACGATTTAAAGACCAATCTTTTTAATGATCTTCTTCTTAAATATTCAAAACTGGACACCTTCAAGTACAATGTTTTTCAAACTGTATATTGTGACCTACTGAGATTAGACAGCAGCTACAGCATTTTGTTGTTACTGTTGTTAGAGAAAGAGAATAGAAAATGTCAATATAGTGAGGGTTATTTCATGAAACTTGTTTAAATAATTCATGTATATATGTGTGTGCTGGATTGCAATAGAAAATGTTTTTCTTACTGTTGTTCACAGTAAAAAAAAAATTGTGAAAGATATCTCTATTAAATGACTTCCCTCTAAGCCCCAGAGTTCTAATTTGTGGTTTCCCAGACAATATATGGGTATTTTATCCTTGCAATCAGCAAGGGGACTTTCATTCACCTGCAGTACCATGTTCTTTGAAGGCAAAGTTGCAGAGGTGCAGCCTGCAGTCCTGTGGGACTTCTCAAAGTGTGACACCAGAAACCTCTTGCGTCAGCACTACCTGGAGTACTGATTAAAACAGCAGGTGCCAGCCTCATCCCCACCGCAGCCCTACTCGATCCACTCTTCGAGGGTGGGGCCCAGGCGTGTGGGGTTTTTTTTTTAACCAGATTGCTCTTCTTCCCACATAACTAGTGTGCTTCCAAAACGTTTACACTGACCTAAAGCTTTACAAAACTCAGACTAACACTAGGCTGACTGCCACACAATCACTCATTCTGGTTTCTCACTTTGGGATAAAACTCAGGAAACTGGATTTTTTACAAGCCCCAGTCCCCTTCTCCAGTTGGTATTGATGATCAGTTGTTTTTGAGAACCACTGGATGATAATTAAGTCGTTGCAGAATTCACTGCTGGCCAGGCATCATTTCAAATAGCAGGTTAGGCAGGGCACCACAGGAAATGACCATGGAAAAATAACAGATGAAAGAGTGCTGCAGATACAAAAGAGAAGGCCAAGGCCATTCTGATCTTGGATGAACTTGGGTAGAAAAAGAAACTGACTTGGTCCAGACAGGGCCAGGCGTGGGAGAAAGTAAGAATAAAATACGTCCTTGAATCCCTCCCAATTCCCCTGCCCTTTGACTCTTAGAAGATCCCCAGCTGGCTAAGCGGAACCCTATTAGGTTAGACTATCTGATAACATAATTTATATTAAAGTATTAATGACACCTTGAATCCACTTCCCAGGGGCACAGACTTTTTAATTTCCATTTTTAATAAGGGTCATCACTAGAGTCCTTCATCCAAAAGAAACCATCTCTAGGTGGAATTTCAGGTGCTCAGGAAGAAACGAACACATGGACAGGAGGAAGTAGGAGTAGGGGGACAAAGGGAAGGGGAAGTTTTCTTGTATCCAAAACATATAAGAGAGGCAAGTGTTTCCTCTTTATATGCCAGGACCAGATCCAAACATTTACTGAGCACCTGCTACTTCTCTGTCCCCGGATAGTGCACCCTGGTCCTGCTGGCTTTGGGGTCATGCACAAAGAACCAGGGGAAACAGTTAGCGTTACTGAGGGGAGGAGAAATGTTACATTAGACAATGACTGGTTTTAAATGACCCTAATCTGTTCTGTTACACCTATGAAGATTTTGGTAGGTTTTAAATATGCTCCTTAGATTTTTAGATTAGCCAGATGGCATTCCAATTGTCACTCAGTGCTTTTTAAAATAAATCACTGTCACTTCTCTGAAAACAACAACAGGATCTTATGCAACCAGAACTCCCTGGGGAGTGTCCAAAGACAAGGTACCAGGCTATCCCCAGCATTTACCCATAAAACCTTTTTTTTTCGAAAAAATTGTCCACCTGAAATCTGAAACTAAGTATCTGCATTTTGAAGCTGCTATGCCTGTGGCTGACTCTGGGGATTTGGCCACATAGGGGTCCTGAGAATCAGGCCCAGAAAGCACTTGGTACTGGAGGCACAGCGAAAGGAGGAAAACAGTACCTGCGCCCCTGAACCAGGAAGTCACAGCCTCATCTCTGGCCTGTATACTTCGGCCTGCAGCTCTCACCTGTCTCAGGCTTTCACAAAAGCAAAGTTGTAACATTGTCACCAAGCAGTCTCATTAACAGGATGCACTTCCCAATGAGTATTTTATATTGCATCTTCTAAAATCAACCCTGGGTCTTTTTTTTTTTTTTTTAAGTAACTCCACTTAAGGGAGCAGGAAGCTCAACACCAAGAGAATATCGTATCTAAACAGAGAAACAAAAGCATGTGAAAAACAAGAGGGCCTGGGAAGCCCTGTAGAATCTTACCCTCCATCACCAAGGCATTTGACAGGGATAAGATTTGAAACACATAATTTATTTGCTGTTTAGGGAACTTGAACAAACAGTTTCCAAGTGACCCAACTTTCTATATCAAACTTGCAGCATTTTTTTAAATGTCATTGAGTATACAACCTTATACACCTCTTTTTCCTGAAAAGCTGTTTAGAGTGATTTCTATCATAAGGTCCCAGAAGTAAACATCATGAGTTAGCCTAGAGAAAGACTGCTAAATGAAGTTAGATATTTCAACATACATATGTAAATTATATATGTTACATATAGTATTAGCATATACCTATTAATTTTTAACACTTAGTATAGTATTAGGAAAACATTAAGGAAGGGATGACAAGAATTAAACCCATAAACTATAACTATCTAATAAAAAATCATGCATGCTCGCCTTGAGTAAAACATTACACTCCTTCATTTCATGTTTAAACAGTGTTTGTCACCCCAGTCAAAAGCTTTAACCATAGGACTAGATAACTCATTCCTCCTATAGTCAGATCTTTGAGGTCAGAAGACAAAATTGACAAATGGCATGAAAGAAAAGTTCACTCTACTGTGTCTTAAAAATCTGTAGACAAGAGAGGGTGAGGATAAGTTCAGCCTGTTTATCACATGCTGGAATTCAACTCAAGTCATTTCACATCAATCTCCCATTTGCTCTAAATGTATACAAGCGTGCTCCGTGAAAGCACACCAATGTTGGCAAAATACAACAATGCTTCCTTTCTGACATATCAAATAGATTTATTTTTTAAATATCTGAACTCCAATAACACACATCTTGAAGCATTGAGCTCCCAGAATCAATTAGTTTGTTTTAATCTCTCTCCCATAGTTGCTAAAAGGCTGATTTCAACCTGTAAAGATCTCTGGGCCCCATCAGTCCGCATGTCTCACAGTCTTCACAGCCCCAGATTGCAGGAGACAATGCATCCAGTACCACGAGCGGCGGGGGACGGTGGAAGATAGTTGCTTCCAGAGAAAAGCATGCAAGTCTTATTTTATTGACAAGAATCACTTACTCCGTTACAGCGGTGCTGCTGAAGGAATTATCCTGAAGGCTGAAACAGAAACAAGAAAACATCAGCCAAGTCCGGCCGGGGAGCCGTCTCCCTGCTCGCTCTCCGGGAGTTAGAGCACATACACAAACATGGCATTGCAAGGCAAGTCTCAGGGCTCGCCCGGCACGCTCACTCTACCTTGGGCTGCTGTCTGCACATGCTCGTAACGACACCCCCAGCAGGGGCCCAGCCGCACGGGCGAACCACAAAGCCCGGCAGCCTGCGAGGCTGCGGGGACAGAGCTGGGCGGGGCGCAGCGACGGGGCCAGGACCCCGGGATCCCCGTCAGGAGCACCTGAAGTGTTACCGAGCGACCCCAATCTTGCCAACACCGGGCCGCGTTTAATCCAGGCCTCCCTGTGCCAGCCACCCTCGGGGAAAGCCCAACTGTTTCTGCCTAGGTGAAATCCCCGGGGGACTTGCTTTCTTCCAGACGTCTCCTACCAGTTTTACAGAGCTACCCCCTCTAGGGATGGAGGCTCGCAGAGATTCATCAATCGTTCAGAAAAAGCTGGCAGGGAACGAGAAGGGGGAGGGGAACATAGCTGCTGTTTCTGGTGTGTGTGTGTGGTGTGTGTGGTTTGTGGTGTGGTGTATGTGTGTGTGTGTGTGTGTGTGTATGTATGTGTGTTGCCCAGGCAAAAGAGCCTCTGAAGGAGGGCTCGCTGCATCAAATGTGATCTGTCTGCACTCTGTTAATTTAGTCCCTAAGAGGAAGCGCCCAGCCCTGGACCGCAGAGCTGTGAATGAGCCCACACAGGGCGAGTGGAGAATTTATTCCAGACAAATTTATTCCAGGCATTAGCCGGTAACTAGGGAGACCGTGCTGCAGGTGGGGCTTGCTCTGCCCAGAGCAGCTCGCCTGAGCTCCACTCCCACCACCTTTGCAAAAGATGAGAGCTGGAATCCACCAATGGTATCTATCCCCTTTAAATAAAGGCAGCCCTCTTGGGAGAGGGGAAGGCTGCCAGCCCCTACTTGCTTGTTTCCCAAGGACATATTTGTCCAGCCCTCTTTCCATTGTTTAACTTCTCCTGCCAGGTTGACCTTGATAAGAAGGAGAGAACAGTCACCTGGGAAAGATGCTTCTTTTTGAATTTTGAATTGAGAATATCCCTATTCCCTTCTTTTAATCTCTCCACTCGCAGAAGCAGCTGAGATGGTAGAGTTTAGTCCAAATTATCTAAGCAGATGAGTTAACTTATAACACAAAAAAATCAAATTTTTATTCTCAGATTAGAAAAATTATCCAAAACTTAGTAATAAGGGGAAAGAGGGAGACCTTTCACACTGAGACACTGTTTCTCAGGTCTACCCAAGGACTGATTAATTTGCTAAGAAACTGGACTTGGGTCTGACTTGCTATTCACTATTGGTTAGATCCCTGACCCTGTAGATTTACATGTTAACATGGCACATTTTGTCCACTCTGTCCAGAGGAAAAGGTGACTTCAGCACTCATGGTTTCATTGCACTGTGCAGCTTTAACCAATTTTGTGTCTAACCTAGCAATCTTATACTAACATTCTTTCTAAATGCCTATAAATATGCAGATCCTCAAAATGCTCTTAGAACCAAGAGCATCATCATCTTATAGATCCTCTCATTATTAAATTAATAGATGACTGATTGTGCCTATATTTATATGAGTCATATATTTAACTTTCAAAGTTGTACCTTTGAAAAAAATCAAAATTTACTTTTCAAAGAACAATGGGTTCTTTGCAATTTTCCTTTCCTTTCTCTAAATATTTTTTAGGTAACTGAATAAAAGCATAATACAGGCATTGCTTAGAGATATTGTAGGTGCAGCCACACACAATAAAGCACCACCACAATAAAGTAAATGTTGCAATAAAGTGAGTCACATGAACTTTCTGGTTTCCCAGTATACATAAAAGTTATGCTTACACTATACTGTAGTCTACTAAGTATGCAATAGCATTATTTCTGGAAAAAAAAAACAATGTACATACCTTAATTTAAAAATACTGCTAAAAAATACTCATCATCATCTAAGCATTTAGTGAGTTATAATCTTTTGCTGGTGGAGGGAGTGTCTTGCCTCAATATTGATGGCTGCTGACTGGTCAGGGTGGTGGTTGCTGAAGGTTGCAGTGACTGTGGCAATTTCTTAAAATAAGACAATGAAGTCTCCCACATCAATTTACACTTCCTTTCATGAATAATTTCTCTGTGGCATGCAATGCTGTTTGACAGCATTTTACCCACAGTAGAACTTCTTTCAAAATTGGAGTCAATCACCTCAAATTATGTCACTGCTTTATCAACCAAGTTTGTAGTATTCTAAATCCTTTGTTGTCATTTCAGTAATCTTAACAGTATCTTCACCAAGAGTAGATTCCATCTCAAGAAACTACTTTCTTTATAATCCATAAGAAGTAACTCATTCATTAAAGTTTTATCATGAAATGGCAGCAATTCGGTCACATCTTCAGGATCCACTTCTAATTCTAGTTCTCTTGCTATTTCCACCACATCTGTAGCTACTTCCTCCACTGAAGTCTCAAACCCTTGAAAGTCCCCATCCATGAAGGTTGGAATCAACTTCTTCCAAACTGCTATTAATGTTGATATTTTGACCTCTTCCCATGAATCACTAATGTTCTCAATGGCATCTAGAATGGTGAATCCTTTCTAGAAGGTCTTCAATTTACTTCGCCCAGATCCATCAGAAGAATCACAACCTAGGGCAACTATAGCCTTACAAAATGTATTTCTTAGACAATAAGACTTGAAAGTCTAAATCACTCCTTAATTCATGGGCTGCAGGATGGATGGAGTGCTTTAATTTCCTTCAAGAATATTTCCTTTGCATTCACAACTTGGCTGTTGGCTGCAAGAGCCCTAGCTTTCAGCCTATCTTGGCTTTTGACATGCCTTCGTCACTAAGTTTTATCATATCTACCTTTGATGCTAGTGAGAGATGTACAAACTCTTCCATTCACTTGAACACGTTGAGGCCACTGTAGGGTTGTTAACTGGACCAATGTCAATATTATTGTGTCTCAGGGAATAGGGAGGCCTGAGGAGAGGGAGGGAGACCTAGAATGGCCAAATGGGGGAGCAGTCAGAAAGAACACAAAGAACATTTTTCAAGTTCACCATCTTATCTGGGCATGGTTCATGATGCCCCAAAACAATTAAAAGAGTAATTTCAAAGAGCACTAGTCACAGATCACCATAACAAATACAATAATAATGAAAAAGTTTGACATATTGAAAAAATTATCAAAATGTGACACAGACATGAAGTGAGCAAATGCTGCTGAGAAAATGGCGTTGATAGAGTTGCTAGACACAGGGTTGCCCCAAATCTTCAATTTGTAAAAACACTAATATCTGCAAAGATCAATCAAGCGAAGCACAATAAAATGGGGTATGCCTGTATGGTCTTAGATCTGAACCCTATGGACTAAGATAAGTTTAGAAATAGTCATCCCTTGAACGATTTAATATACAGTATATATACATTTCTAAACCACCTACTGCCACAAATGAGCTATGTTCAGGAGTGTCTGACGTGGCCTCTTCACTGTATTTGTGTATACATTATTTAGCCATCACAAAATGAGGTCTACTCTTTGTTATAATGAGCCCAATAAAGGTAAGTTTATATTCAGCATTCTTAGCTCTAAAAATTCAAAAGTTGTCAGTTTTCAGAAATCATTTTTACTCATTTTCTGTGATATTGATTCCAAATGTTCTAAGGCAGCAAAAGATCATACTTTTCTCACTTAAGCATTCCCAGTGATCCATTTGGAATGGAAAAATATAATGCATTCAACTTTTAAACAGGACTTGTAAAAGTATATGAAATAATGTGGGCCCTTTGAAAATAACATGAAATAACAACTGTATAAAATAAATGCAGGTATTCAATAATGTCCACAGAAAAGAAACAAGAATTCTCAGCAGATCCTGGTGGGAATGCAGTTTGGTGCAGCCACTGTGAAAAACAGTATGGAGATTCCTCAAAAGACTAGGAATAGACTTACCATATGATCCAGTAATCCCACTTCTGGGCATATATCTAGAAGGAATCCTACTTCAAAAAGACACCTGTACCCCAATGTTCATAGCAGCACTATTTACAATAGCCAAGACGTGGAAACAGCCTAAATGTCCATCAACAGATGACTGGATAAAGAAGATGTGGTATATTTATACAATGGAATACTATTCAGCCATAAACACCGACAACGTCACGCCATTTGTAGCAACATGGATGTTCTTGGAGAATGTCATTCTAAGTTAAGTAAGCCAGAAAGAGAAAGAAAAATACCATATGAGATCACTCATAGGTGGAATCTAAAAACAAACAAAAAACATAAATACAAAAGAGAAACAGACCCATAGACATAGAATATAAACTTGTGGTTGCCAAGGGAGCAGGGAGTGGGAAGGGACAGACTGGGATTTCAAAATGCAGAACAGATAAACAAGATTATACTGTATAGCACAGGGAAATATATACAAGATCTTGTGGTAGCTCACAGCGAAAAAAAATGTGACAATGAATATATGAATGTTCGTGTATAACTGAAAAATTGTGCTTTACACTGGAATTTGACACAACATTGTAAAATGACTATAATTCAATAAGAAAATGTAAAAAAAAAAAGAATTCTCAGCAGCTCCATGAATAGATGAATAGTAGGGACAAAAATAAGATTTTCAGTAGTACTCTTATTCATTGAAAACATTTTGTTGATACAGTTGATTATGGTTAACAAATAAAAATGTCCCAGAAAAAAAAACTCAGTTTTGGCAGTATAGAAAAAAAATAACTACTTAAATTCTTCTAACATTATTTGTTTTCATCTTAAATCAAGTTTAGAGATTTTAGTGTCTGGAGCTTTGTTTTGTAGTATTCAACTTGGAACAGGACAATACTGATGAATAATCATACAACATCTGGTTATTTTGGAGACCCTAATTGACTAAATAGTAACTCAAGGTGAATTCAAAAAGAGAAGCAGAAAAGCTAATACTGGAGTTCTAGAAGAAGTAAGTTCTAGGTCAGTGTTTCCCAAAGTGTCCTCAGTAGAATTGTGTTTCCCATATGGTTCAAGAAAACAAAAGAAAGAAAGTTACATGATCAAAAATAAGTTTTGAAAGGATATATATTATAACTTAACCATGCATATTAGGCAGCAAAGCAAAGTATTTCATTGTTTTTAACCAACATTTCTCAAACTCAGTGAAGACCACACAGCTTTTTGTTATATATGTTACCTATTAGTATCAAGTTGAACTAGGATTTTTGAGGATGAATTCCCTGAATATATCAGGGGAAAAATGCAAAGCAGATTAACTGGTATAATTATTAACTGAACAAATGAATGAAGGAACAAATGATGCTACATGCTTGTCATTGTTCCATAGCTATGAACAAGACAGACATAGTCCCTTTCGTAATGACGTTTCTAGAGTAAGTATTTATGTATGTATATATATGTAATGTATATTGTAAGTACAGCCCTATTTTATACAATTTAAGTAGACTAAGGGGGAAATGGAAACACTAGATTTTGAATATGGTTAATTCACTTACATGTTCAAAGTTTCAATGTATTACTTTTCTATCAATGTTCTTAAAATCAACATCTGAATTTCAGACTTTATAACAATAACTTAATTACAATTGAAAAAAATTTAATTCTAATGTATTGACTTGGCTATATGCAAAATATAAAGCAATAAAGTAGTGGTCAAGAAAGAAATTTCTAGAGTTGCCAGGGTTTAAGACCTACCAGTTACTAGTAGTCTGAACTTGGACAGCCACTCCATGCCTCAGTTTTCTCAGCTATAAAATTGGAGATAATAATGACCTTTCTCATGGCTTCCAATGAAGATGAAATGACATGACTGAAAATGACAGAAAAAAGTCAATAAATGTTATCATCATTATCATTTTTATTATTATTATAATAAATAAGAATATATAAACATAAAGCTTGGAACAGGATGTACGAACCGCTGTGCCGGGATAGTAGGTTTACAGATAATGTTTTCTATTTCCCATAATGGCCCCGTGTTTACAAAGTTTTTTTTTTTTAAGTACAGTAAAAATGAAAACTCTACTAAATGTAGATGGATTGCTCTTAAAAATGAAATCAGCTCCATCCAGAATGGCTTTGTGCTCACTTTACAGCTTTTGATTTAAAATACTCACACATCCCTGGAGAAACATTCAGTTCTGAGAAATCACTTTCTGCAAGACCCTGCGGCAAGGAGCCAGGAGTGTACAATGCCAGGAAGTCAACAGAGGCCTGCTCTCCTGTCCTGGACACAGTGACTTGGAGCTTCCTGCCAGGACCCCTGGGAGTGACCGGGCTTCCCTGTGGAAAGAGAAGACTCTTGCCTGAAAAGATAATTTTCCATAAAGAAAACTCTCCCTGGTTCTCTGTCCTCTTATCCTTTCCCTCACCAGCCCCAAGACCTGGTACAAGAACTAAAGAGGCCTCATTATCTGAGCGGTCAGTATCTGAGCTCCTGAAGATTCAAAGATGCCCAGGGAAGCAAAGTTGTGATACCAAAAATATAAACTGATGGTGGACTGGTTTTGATCTTGGTCTCCATTCAAACATTCCCCCACCCATTAATGCTAGTATATAGCAAGTTCACCTCTGTCTGAAAATCTGATTCTTTTGACAGCAAAATACAGATACAATATAAATTGAGTGCTAAGCAAAATTGTAATTTTTGCAAATTAAATTCTTCAGGATTTCATGAAGTCAGTGGAAGTAATGGTGGAGAATGGCTTGTATCACATTTAAAACCAGAGGTTTTGACAATAGCAACTAAAGAATAAAAAAATTAACAAAGATGGTGACATGTCAATTCCAAAGGGGATGAACTGACTATCAAAGGATTAAGAGTGGTTCTTAGAAAAATTTATGAAGCCCTTAATTAATTTTGTAAATGCTACCTTTTAAAATTATGCAGTGAATGTTAAATGTGAGCTGAAGGTTATCATTTTGAGATGTTAAAATTTTTGCAGAAAAATTATGTTTATCCTCTCCAATGGGCATAATTTATTCTTTACTGTTTCTAAGAATTAGTTCACTATCACAATTATATCCCAACTGTAAGTTAAGAACACTTTTATAGTGTATTTACTGTTTACCATCATCTACCAGGCTGTGTGCGCTCTGGCCAAGAGACAACTGAACTTGTCTCCAATCATATTGGCCTCCCTGCTCTTACTTCAATAGGTGAACTTGATCCTTCCCTAGGCTCTTTGCACTTACTATTCCCCCTGCTGGGAAAACCACCCCATCTGCTCAAATGTGCCTCCTTGGGGAAAACATCTCTGACCACACCCTCTAAATCAGCAGCTCCCATCACTTTATTCTGCCTTACTTTCTTCATAGGACCTGTTACTACCTGATATTTAATATTTGTTTGCCTCTTTGTATTATAATTGTCTCTCCCACTAGAACGGGAGCTCTTTGAAGGCAAAGATTTGTAGGTCTTATTCATTACTCTATCCCCAGGGCTGAAAATGGTGTCTACCGTGGTAGCTACCCAACAAATGTTTGTAGTATGAAATAAACAAATGAATATTGAGTATCATTTTTTTCTAAGATAAAGCTCTATTCACCCTTAATTTTTTCTATTTACTTTGAAATACTAGCTTCTGTTTTAAGTGACTAACTGTAGGTGGGATTTTTCCAACACAAGTTACCTTCAGGTAATGAGGTTTTCCTGTATTAGACATTCCTTTCTTTGCTTTGCAGAGATAACTAACAGATTTCATGCTGTTATGCTGATACGGTTGATGGTACCGGCTGCCCAGAGCATCGTTGGTTTCTAAGATTTGGTTGCAGATCAGCCAGAAAGAGCACTGGGATTGATCAGTCAGCAGTATTTGCTAAGAGACAGGATGGGGACATGGTATTAGAATTACTGAATTAAAACACCTTATTAAAACAAAGATTTTCTTGAGAAAAACACATTTCATTATTAACACCTTAGCTTGAATGAAATTTTAGATAATCAAATACATCCTTCCTATTGGTAAGATTCTCAAGAACCTCAGGAGTTACCTGGTCCAGTTCTGTTTTAATATCTAAACTTGTACCAGGACAGTCCCCTACCTGCTGCTTGAAACCTTCAGGAACAAGAAATTTATACCTCACAGACTCCTTTATTAGACTCCTCTAATTCTTGAGAAAATATTTTCCACTTGAGCCCTTCCCTACCTCTTGCTACTTTCACCCATGATTGAATGCCCCTAAAAAATTAATCTACTCCATCTCCTGATCTCCAGGTCAGATCTTCCCCATTCCCTCAGTACATTCTCACATGGTGTGATTTGGAATCTCATCTACATCTTTCTGGGTTGTGTAGCACTGGATAAACTGTGAAAATACCCTCTTAAAATGCATCTGCTACCCTAAACAAGTTATTAGTCCAGGAATGGTTTGTTCAGTGAAGAGTGAAATGGGATTTGCACCTTCTTCTTTTTAACATTATATTCTTTTCATGTGACCCAAGATCACTGTGAGTGGTTCTGCTGGTCTGATCACACCAGAGACCCAGAATGTTGGAGTCAACTGCTACTCCACATTGTAATTGACTGTACTTCAATAAAAAAAATTTTATTTTAAATAGCAAATTTCTTATTATAGCACAGGGAACTATATTCAGTATCTTGTAATAACTTTTAATGAAAAAGAATTTGAAAATGAATATATGTATATATATGTATGACTGGGATATTATGCTGTACACCAGAAAGTGACACATAATTGACTATACCTCAATAAAATAAATAAATTCATAAACAAACAAACAAACAAATAAACTGCTACTCCAGATCCACATCTGTGCCTTCCAAAAGGAGAGCAACTGGTTGGTTGAACCCAAGTCCCAGCTTTGCATACATTCCTATGAAATTCTATATTGTTTGATCTGACATTTCATACTATCAAATCTAACCTTTCAGATCTTTTTAGAATAAACGTCTTAGCAAAAATTACATTGGCTATCTCCTCCAGTTTCACAGAAGCAGCACTCTGTAGATACAGTTCTTCCAAAAACTGGAGCATACAATAAATATACTTTTATTCAATTCATAATGTTTCCATTTATATAAATTAAGAAAAAGTCTTAAATAGTTATTTAATATAGTAAAACTTTGAAGATTTGAAATTACATTACTTTAGGGGTGGTAGGTGGGCAGAGAAGAAATGACAAAAATGACTTGGGCTCAACATTTGGGGGGCTACTAGAGTGAGAGATAGCAATGGGCGAACCCTTGGGTTACCAGGTGGTAGAATGATTAAACCAATTCAAGGTAGGAGTGGCAATTCATCGTCTTCAGCACCTTCTTCCACCCAGCAAAGTGTTACAGCTGAAGCTCTAGTCAAACACATAGCAATTTAATGACTCATCCAGTTGAAGAAGGACAGCTTCACACTTCCTTGGGTTCACATAAGCGGAACACATCTAGGATACCTAGGGCCCACTGAGCAAAACCTCTTTTGTTGTATGAAGAGGAAAGGGTATTTTTTTTCCCCATAATTCCTCCTACACCTTTCAAGAGAAATTTCTAAGATTTTCTTTCTCCTCCCACAGTTCCATTTAACTACTCTGTTTTTAAATCTCAATAGCATCCTCTTTCTCTATACATGAGCTTCGGCCCATGTAACTCTGCTCACATTTCAACTGGTAATCTTTTTATATAAATGCCTTCGCTCACAACATAACATTCTGTATCTCTTTAAAATTCTCAACCTATGTTGTTCCAGTTATCTCTTGTATTTATGACTTAAAAGTTTTTTTTCTCCTGATTTTGAGGGTTAGGAATCCCAGAAGAGTTCAGCTGGTCATTCTGATCAACGTGGTATCAGCTGGGGCAGGTGGAATGGGAGGACCACCTTCTGAACTGGCTTCTTCACCCAAATAGCCAATAACTCAATGTTCCCGGCCTCTCTGTCCACACAGCACCTCATCCTTCAGGGCTTCTCCATGTGACTTGAACAGCATAGTGGTCTCAGGGTAATCTATCCTCTTCTATGGTGGCTGACCTCCAAAAGACAAGGTAGAAGCTGCCAGGCCGCTAAAGGCTTGGCCTGAACTGGTATGACATCACTTCTGCCATACTCTATCACTCAAAGAAGATACAAGTCAGCTCAGATTCTAGGACAGGATAATAGACCCACCTCTTAATAGGAGGAGAGTCAAAGAATTTGTATCCATTTTAATCTGCCACAGACATTTACATTGGTTATTGATTTCCTTATCCTTAGAGTCATGACAGCAGATAGCTATACTTCTCATTTCAATGGACCACTAATCTATAGATTTTGGGTATAATATATATATATGATATAGTTATTAATTAAGAAGAGAGTCAAGATTTCTGGTTTTTTCAAGGAAAACAATTGAGCTAATCCAAGCAACCGTCCTCACCAGTGTTGTTTCAACACCGTGGTATGACATGATTGAACTTGCAAGTTATTTGCCAAATACTGACCTTTGTGAATAACTGAATTTCAAAATAATAAATTAAAGCAGATCCAAGCTTTTTTCTGTAATAGCATCACTCTGTCTCCCATGCATTCTTCAGTGGAGGTTAAGGGACGAAGTTGTTGCAGCTCTTCCACTGGGAACTGCTCACAACCCTGGCACACTGATGGGGAAATGCCACATCCCAGTCATCATCTATCCTGCGTGGCTTAGAGGGAAAAAAAAGAAAGAAAAGATTAAGAACTCCTAGCTTAGAGCAGGTTGCTAATGAAACCAGTATTAGCTAGCTAGATGAAAGCTGGATAAAATCCAAATATGAAGCCATTAAAAATTTTATTTTGCTCAGTAGCAACAAAGAAAAATCTTATTGCTGTGTCCTTTTTCTCTTCTGCCTTTCTCTATCCTTCTCCCAGCCATTTCCCCAGAGGGCTCACAAATGTGGGCAAACGACACTTAGTAAAATGTACCAGCTACCAATCTTACTGGAAAAAATAACTCAAAAGTCACACATTGCTAAGGCTGGGCAGGAATACTATTTGCTAATACTAAAAACAGCAGATATTTATAGTTCCAAAAGCATAGTGTCTCATTCCACAACTATTTCTAATTACTAAGCACATACTCATAAAATATATTTTGCCCTTATCACCTCCTTGAGACAATGGCTTAGCTCCACTTTCTATGGACTTTGTGAGCTGCTTGTCAGTTGCAGGTGGTTCACACACATCCACAGGGAACCACATTCCCTCTGGCCCCTGCGCAGTCAGGGCCGCTACGTTTCTATATTTGGTGTCAATCCCTCAGCGCAGGACTCAGCTCACATCACTGCTGGGCCTGTTGTTACTGGGCTGAACTTTGCACAGAAACCAACTTCTTAATGGTCCTCAAGAAATCATTAAAAATTCAGTGACACTGTGCCTCTCAGCCAAAACAGTAAATATCAAATTGTAGAACCAATAGGATATGAATTACTGACACAAAACAGATCAGAAATGGTTAGTCTAGTGAGCAAAAACAGAATATCTAGAATCAACTGACAAAGAAATATCAATTTTAAAACATCACCCATTAGAGATACTTTTCATCTAATAACTAAAATGCTAAAAGCTTAAAAGCCCAGAAAGCAGCATAAGGCAAGAAAAAGTACAGATGGAGAGTTCTGGGGCTTGAAAGCTGCCTCAGCTCTACTACCAACACATTCAACCTTGTAGGGTGAGTGACCTTTCCTGGACATCAGTGTCCTAAATAAGGAAGCAGCTAGATTTGACAGTCTTTAATGGCTTGGCTAACTATAAAATTTTGTGGTTCTCGGGAAATGTAAAAAAGTTACGTGGCCTGTTTTTGGAAGAGAGGGAGGAAGAGAAAAAAAGAAAGAAGGGAAAGAGGAAGAAAATAAGGAAAGGGAAAAGGAGAGAAGGGGAAAGGGGGAAAGAGAGGGAGGGAGGGAAGGAGACAGATTAAAAAAAAGTAGAGTAAAAGAAAAGCTGGAATATAGATATAAATACATATATATGTGTGTGTGTGTGTATATATACATATATAGATACATCTGTGTGTGTGTGTGTGGAAAAAAACTTTGAAGTTAAAATGTTATCTAGGCAACGACCACATCAACACAATAAATGACTTAATGAAAGTGGTAAAGGACCAGCCAGGATTAAGAATTTGAACTAATGGTATTGCAAGACTACTTAACATTGTTTGGCTCATTACACAGAATGTTGATGGGTTCTACTTACAAACTTCTAAGAAGCTTCAATAAACCAATCAGAAAATTGTGCTCTATTTTTGGAAATAAAATGGGACTGTTTCAATACTGTCTGCCTCCAATTTCTGCTCCATTATGGGTAAACTGGCTTCTGTGGGCTGGCCTGGCTACTGTGACTCCACCATGTGTGAAGTTGTTTCTACGGGAGGAAACTGAAGGGACTAAGATGACTTCCTCTCTCCCCACCTCATTACAGTCACTGAAGATCTTGGAGTATAAGTGGAGAAAAGGAAGTGTTTGGAGGCTACTGAAGCCACAGAGAAGGTTCAGAAGGAGAGAACAAGGGATTATGAGAAGTACGAAAGGTAGTGAGGAAAGAAACGGCAAGCAAAGTACGTGTGGATATCAAGATGCAATGGAAGTATCCCGATTTCCAATCAGGCCCTGGGATTCTCCCAACTGCCAGGCTCCTATGCTGTATACACACTGACAGTACCCTTACTGGTTTGTATACCATCTTCCTACCATCAGAAGAAACAACTCAGTAGAATAGGGGTCACCTCACACTCTCCAAGCTCCAGAGTGAAGTCCACCACTGATGGAGAGCATGCTTGTAAGAACAGCATTGCAGCCTGGGTCTGCCTTGTACCACTCATGAGGGGCCAGGGATGCTTTGTCATGCTATATACTGTCAACCAATTGTGCTGGGAGTTTTGTGTTCACACCCCTCAGATGGAGGGAGACCAAATCACAGGGCTATGGGAGGCTGACACCAAGGCTCTATTTTCCAGCCTGCTTATCACGCTGTCTTGAGCTCTCATCACTCACTCACTAGCTCCTTTCCTTGGCCTCCAGCCCATCTAGATTTTAACTCAAGGATTTTAGCTTTTTTTTTTTTAACTTTCCCAATATACACAAAAGTAGAGAAACACGTGTAACAAGCCCCATATATACAAGATTCATCTTTACCAATTATCAGTATTCAGCCATTCTTCTTTTACCAAATGTCAGCTCCTCCAAAATATCATCAAAAAAGACTTTGATACAACAAAGCTAAGTTTATTCTTACCTGTTAAGGGAGAACACCACCTTGCCAGACTTTCACTACTCTCTTAAAGTGAGGATGGCAAAGTTGGAATATTTATGAGATTTTGGGGTCTAGTTGAAGGTGGATCATTCAGTGGGAAGGGGACATGATTAGGACAAGTAAGGATCATGATATAATGATTTATGACCTGTGGATACAGCAAGGTAAGGATTTTGAGGTAGAGTTCAAAGAGTCTTGAGGCATATAAACACTGGCTTGCTGCTGCCTGCTGAGGAGGTGATTAGTTTTAATGTTCACTTAAACGGACTTTAGGGGAAGTTCCTGAAACAAGCAATAAATATATTTGCAACTTTTAATCTTCCTGAGCAAGAGTACCCTGGAATAGTGAAATTAAATTGATGAAGGCAGTGGAATAACAGAGTTACATTGGTTAAGCAGCTGAAAAGTCAAGTCGTGATAATGTGCACGGCAAGTTCTGTGGATGGATGTCATCAAGCCGCCACTTACTTTTATTGTATTATTATTTGCTAGAGTATTTAAAATTATTCCTTACTTTTTTTTAAAGTTGCCAAATGGTATCCAACTCATATATACAGTCTGTTATCTCTAATAACCAAAACCTTCATATACATGTAATTTTTAAAAAAATCTTTCAATGTTTCTGTTCATGGCTTTATCCAGAAAGCCAAGGAAATGACCCCATGCTAGGAATTCACTACCACACTCGGGAATAAAAATGCTGAGGACTGTTCAGAATCTCAAAGAGCTCTACACAGACATCATCGCCTTATTTGGCCAACAGCCAGTCAGCTGTGATTATAGGGGCAGAAAGAACCAGCAAGCGGGACTTCAATGTGAACTTTGTGGGGAGAGTGAGGGGAGAGGTCGGCTCCTTTTGAGGAAATGAAGCCATTCTTCTGAAGGAAAAAAATTGCCTAAAGAAAACGTACCATGAATTGGATATCTACTCCTGTGGGGTTTTCATAAAAATATATGTGTATTCAGGCTACAAACATTAACTGAGCACATTTTAAATGCGGGGCCAGGAGGAATTGTGCAGAAGGGAAAAGCCATCTCTATGTTTTTGAGGAAAGCCTGCCTTGGTGGAAAGATCACCACCTTCAGAGCCAGACTTGGGTGGGAATCATGAAGAAATGACTTAACATCTAATTTCTTAATGCTTCTAT